TTTGGAACAAAATACAGCACAACAACATACTTAGTAGACCAGACAATTTGGAACAAAATACAGCACAACAACATACTTGGTAGATCAGACAACTTGGAACAAATTACAGCCCAGCAAACTTGGTAGACCAGACAGTTTATAAGGTACTGTCTTCTTTCCAGTAATTGAAATAAGAAATCTTTCTACAGGCACTATATTACTAGTAGTTTCACTTTCTTACTGTATTTAACAATAATCTACACATTGTTGTACAAACCTACTAACTCTATGCAGCAAATGTGTTATACAGCTAAGTTACTATCTCTTTCCATGTAGTCAGTGTGTTATATAGCTAAGTTATTAACTATTTCCATGTAGTTAGTGTGTTATGTAGCCAAGCTACTAACTCTTTCTATGTAGTAAGTGTGTTATATAGTGAAGCTACTAACTATTTCTATGTAGTCAGTGTGTTATACAGCCAAGCTACTAACTATTTCTATGCAGTAAGTGTGTTAAATACCCAAGTTACTAACTCTTTCTATGCTGAGTGTTATATAGCTAAGTTACTATCTCTTTCCATGTAGTCAGTGTGTTATATAGCTAAGTTACTAACTCTTTCTATGTAGTCAGTGTGTTATATAGTCAAGTTACTAACTCTTTCCATGTTCTCAGTGTGTTATATATCAAAGTTACTAACTCTTTCTACGTAGTCAGTGTGTTATATAGCCAAGTTCGTAACTCTTTCTACGTAGTCAGTGTGTTATATAGCCAAGTTACTAACTCTTTCAATGTTGTCAGTGTGTTATATAGTCAACTTGCTAACTCTTTCCATGTTGTCAATGTGTTATATAGACAACTTGCTAACTCTTTCCATGTTGTCAATGTGTTATATAGACAACTTGCTAACTCTTTCTATGTTGTCAATGTGTTATATAGTCAAGTTACTAACTCTTTCCATGTTCTCAGTGTGTTATATCGTCAAGTTACTAACTAATTCCATGTAGTCAGTGTGTTATATAGTCAAGTTACCAACTAATTCCATGTAGTCAGTGTGTTATATAATTAAGTTACTAACTCTTTCCATGTAGTCAGTGTGTTATATAGTCAAGTTACTAACTCTTTCCATGTAGTCAGTGTGTTATATAGTCAAGTTACCAACTCTTTCCATGTAGTCAGTGTGTTATATAGTCAAGTAACTAATTCCATGTAGTCAGTGTGTTATATAGCAAAGTTACTAACTCTTTCCATGTAGTCAGTGTGTTATATAGTCAAATTACCAACTAATTCCATGTAGTCAGTGTGTTATACAGTCAAGTTACTCTTTCCTTTTACAGTTACCAAGGTGGTTGGAAATTCACTAACAATAAACAACGTCAAGAGAACCCACATGGGGGCCTACCTGTGTATTGCTTCTAACCAAGTACAGCCTTCTGTTAGTAAACGTATAGTTCTTAGTGTGAAGTGTAAGTTACAACATCATATTAAGTGTTATTTGTGTTATTGGTTCTATACAACCTCAGCCATTCTTTAGTAAAATGGTTCTTAGTGTGAAGTGTAAGTTACAACATCATATTAAGTGTTATTTGTGTTATTGGTTCTATACAACCTCAGTCTTTCTTTAGTAAAATGGTTCTTAGTGTGAAGTGTAAGTTACAAGATCATATTAAGTGTTGTTTGTGTTATTGATTCTATACAACCTTAGTCTTTCTTTAGTAAAATGGTTCTTAGTGGGAAGTGTAAGTTACAACATCATATTAAATGTTATTTGTGTTATTACTTCCATAAAACTTCGGCCTTTCTTTAGTAAAATGATTCTTGGTGTCAAGAAGAAATAGACCACCCTATATCTCTATAATACTCCACACCTCCACCCTCATTGTTGATAATTACAAACCGATATTAAACAGAACGAAAACTCGTTTTTAATTCCCCACCCTCCTTCATTTCTTCCTGACTATCATTAATATTTTAGTTATTTATAATCCAAGGAAAACTTTGAATAACAACAACCTCTATGTTCTAGACAAGGTAGTTTCCGTGATCGAGAATTTACTGCTAATTTCGTATTTATTATAAAAGATTATAAAGTATATATATATGTATGTGTGTGTATGGATGTATATTATATGATGTTAATGGATTATTGTCAGAAATTTTCAGTGTCTTTCTTTTATAGAAACAAATTGAAGGTGCTTTGAACAAACAACATAATTATAATAAGCTCAGGGTTTAGAAACAGATAATCAGATTTGATTGTCAAACGTAATGATTTTTAAGAAATTGTATTCTCTAGAAGCTTCTAATTCTGCCTCGCGCTGATGACTAGGTTTTGAACGTCTTAACAATTCAAATCCTAAACTATCCATGTTTTTGTTTTCAAGTTAACATTGGAACTAGCCTGTATAAGTTCTAATGTTTCCCTAAGGCTGTTAACATAACCTAATTTGCGTCCCAAATCTTGCATACTGTTTTATTTATCGGTCAGCGTAACATAGTTTTGGGAAATGTAATCTTTATTACACCCTTTGGACATTTCAGGAAACTAAGTGTTTACAGTTTATCTGTTTCCCCGTTTCCTTCTGATTATCTACTGGAGAAAACAAGACGTGCGTGTTTCTTGTACAAAATTAACAACTGACAGACAGGGTTATGTTTCTATAAAGGTTATTTGAGATACTTACTGAAAAAGAAAGAGAAGCAAAATTAAATCAAATAATAACAAATAGTTATATAAATAACAACTCCTCTATATTAAAAATACCACTTTCATATAGTTAAAGAACAACTCTTCTATATAAAAATACCACTTTCATATAGTTAAATAACAACTCCTCTATATAAAAAATACCACTTCATATAGTTAAATAACAACTCCTCTATATAAAAAATACCACTTCATAT